GTATGCGACACTAATGTAAATGATCTTTCAAACATGAGGTAGTATGCGACACTAATGTTAATGATCTGTGAAACATGAGGTAGTATGCGACACTAATGTTAATGATCTGTCAAACATGAGGGTAGTATGCGCCACTAATGTTAATGATATTTCAAACAAGAGATTAGTATGCGACACTAATGATAATGATATTTCAAACAAGAGATTAGTATGCGACACTAATGCTAATGATCTGTCAAAAATGAGGGTAGTATGCCACACTAATGTAAATGATCTTTTAAACATGAGGTAGTAAGCGACACTAATGTTATGATCTGTCAAACATGAGGTAGTAAGCGACACTAATGTTATGATCTGTCAAACATGAAGGAAGTAAGCGACACTTATGTTAATGATCTGTGAAACATGAGGTAGTAAGCGACACTAATGTTATGATCTGTCAAACATGAGGGTAGAATGCGACACTAATGTGAATGATCTGTGAAACATGAGGGTAGTATGCGACACTAATGTTAATGATATTTCAAAGATGAGGTAGTATGTGACACTAATGTTAATGATCTGTCAAACATGAAGGTAGTATGCGACACTAATGTTAATGATATTTCAAACATGAGGGTAGTATGGGACACTAATGTTCATGATCTTTCAAACATGAGGTAGTATGCGACACTAATGTAAATGATCTTTCAAACATGGGGTAGTATGCGACACTAATGTAAATGATCTTTCAAACATGAGGTAGTATGCGACTCTAATGTAAATGATCTTTTAAACATGAGGTAGTATGGGAGACTAATGTAAATGATCTTTCAAACATGAGGTAGTGTGCGACACTAATGTTAATGATCTTTCAAACATGAGGGTAGTATGCGACACTAATGTAAATGATCTTTCAAACATGAGGAAGTATGCGACACTAATGTAAATGATCTTTCAAACATGGGGTAGTATGCGACACTAATGTAAATGATCTTTCAAACATGAAGGTAGTATGCGACACTAATAGTAATGATCTTTCAAACATGAGGGTAGTATGCGACACTTATGTTAATGATCTGTCAAACATGAAGGTAGTATGCGACACTAATGTTAATGATCTGTCAAACATGAAGGTAGTATGCGACACTTATGTTAATGATCTGTCAAACATGAAGGTAGTATGCGACACTAATGTTAATGATCTGTCAAACATGAAGGTAGTATGCGACACTTATGTTAATGATCTGTCAAACATGAAGGTAGTATGCGACACTAATGTTAATGATCTGTCAAACATGAAGGTAGTATGCGACACTTATGTTAATGATCTGTCAAACATGAAGGTAGTATGCGACACTAATGTTAATGATCTGTCAAACATGAAGGTAGTATGCGACACTTATGTTAATGATCTGTCAAACATGAAGGTAGTATGCGACACTAATGTTAATGATCTGTCAAACATGAAGGTAGTATGCGACACTTATGTTAATGATCTGTCAAACATGAAGGTAGTATGCGACACTAATGTTAATGATCTGTCAAACATGAAGGTAGTATGCGACACTTATGTTAATGATCTGTCAAACATGAAGGTAGTATGCGACACTAATGTTAATGATCTGTCAAACATGAAGGTAGTATGCGACACTTATGTTAATGATCTGTCAAACATGAAGGTAGTATGCGACACTAATGTTAATGATCTGTCAAACATGAAGGTAGTATGCGACACTTATGTTAATGATCTGTCAAACATGAAGGTAGTATGCGACACTAATGTTAATGATCTGTCAAACATGAAGGTAGTATGCGACACTTATGTTAATGATCTGTCAAACATGAAGGTAGTATGCGACACTTATGTTAATGATCTGTCAAACATGAAGGTAGTATGCGACACTAATGTTAATGATCTTTCAAACATGAAGGTAGTATGCGACACTTATGTTAATGATCTGTCAAACATGAAGGTAGTATGCGACACTAATGTTAATGATCTGTCAAACATGAAGGTAGTATGCGACACTTATGTTAATGATCTTTCAAACATGAAGGTAGTATGCGACACTTATGTTAATGATCTGTGAAACATGAAGGTAGTATGCGACACTAATGTTAATGATCTTTCAAACATGAAGGTAGTATGCGACACTTATGTTAATGATCTTTCAAACATGAAGGTAGTATGCGACACTTATGTTAATGATCTGTCAAACATGAAGGTAGTATGCGACACTAATGTTAATGATCTTTCAAACATGAGGGTAGTATGTGACACTTATGTTAATGATCTTTCAAACATGAGGTAGTATGCGACACTAATGTTAATGATCTTTCAAACATGAAGGTAATATGCGACACTAATATTAATGATCTTTCAAACATGAGGTAGTATGCGACACTAATGTTAATGATCTTTCAAACATGAGGTAGTATGTGACACTGATCTTAATGATCTGTCAAACATGAAGGTAGTATGCGACACTAATGTTAATGATCTTTCAAACATGAGGGTAGTATGTGACACTGATGTTAATGATCTGTCAAACATGAGGGAAGTATGCGACACTAATGTTAATGATATTTCAAACATGAGGGTAGTATGCGACACTAATATTAATGATCTTTCAAACATGAGGTAGTATGTGACACTAATGTTAATGATCTTTCAAACATGAGGGTAGTATGTGACACTAATGTTAATGATCTTTCAAACATGAGGGAAGTATGCGACACTAATGTTAATGATATTTCAAACATGAGGGTAGTATGCGACACTAATATTAATGATCTTTCAAACATGAGGTAGTATGTGACACTAATGTTAATGATCTTTCAAACATGAGGGTAGTATGTGACACTAATGTTAATGATCTTTCAAACATGAGGGAAGTATGCGACACTAATGTTAATGATATTTCAAACATGAGGGTAGTATGCGACACTAATATTAATGATCTTTCAAACATGAGGTAGTATGTGACACTAATGTTAATGATCTTTCAAACATGAGGGAAGTATGTGACACTAATGTTAATGATCTTTCAAACATGAGGGAAGTATGTGACACTAATGTTAATGATCTTTCAAACATGAGGGTAGTATGCGACACTAATATTAATGATCTGTCAAACAAGAGGGTAGTATACAGCATAAATGTTAATTATCTTTCCAACATGAGGTAGTATGCGATGCTTATGTTAATGATCTATCGAACAAGAGGGTTGTATTTGTCCTTTTATTATGAGAGCTTTATTTTCCATGAAATGATTATAAAAAACCGTTACAAATGTATGGTTGCAATATTCATGTATACAGACTGAATTTATGGTTGACAATATCAGCGTTGACTTGGGATTTCTTTTTTAGATAGATATTAAATAGTGACGAACAAACTTACAGCAAAGGCGATCGAATGATACTGCTTGATGAAAACTGGGCAAGATTCATGGTGACCATCTGATTGGGAGTCTACTACCTTGTGGGGTACGACTATCAACGTTGTAGCTCATCCTCTCTGGTTTGCCTTGTAGTACACTATCAAGACGTGACAATGCTTGGATTTAACCTAGAATTACATGGCGAGTTTTACTGGTGAAGCAAAACACGCTTACCCTTCCAGGCCACATGGCCATTCTCCTTTTGTGTTTTACAAATCGTACGTATCTATGTGCCTACATTGCTCTGTGATTTAATCCTTGTAAGTGCCATGCTCATTGAAATTCGTTTCAGTAGCGTGAATAGTGTGTTAATTATTAACAAACGTGTTTTTCTTCAATTATTTCAAAATATTTTATTGTTAAAACAAATTTATAACAGAAAATAAAAATGATAAGAAAATATAGCATGCATTTACAAAAGGATAGGAAAACAGGCTAAGTCTACACCACTCTTTCCAATAAAAATACAAGACTTTTCGCAGCTTCTATGTGAAAAAGGTTGTCAGTGTTGAAGACATAGACCCGACGGGCACTGTGCCTGCAACCTCGCCAACTATCCTGACCAAAAAACACTTCTATATGTATAAATATATCATAGGTTTCAATTATATCGGTTTTTTCTACTATTTTCAAAATTTTAGCATTGGATCACCACTCGGTAAACAATTAAGATAAGTGGCGACGAATATAATTATTACAAAAAGGTAAATAAAAAACGACGTCAAATATGACGTTATCAAGCAGAACGTGACTTTTTCGACGTTAAATGTAAATGATCCTTATTGCTTTCAGACAGACAATTAATTATTGTGTATATGTACATACGATGCAACAAAATCACAACAGAACACTATAAGCTTAGTACAACTAGTCACTACAGAGGGATTACATTGATTCATCACCTTCACGACTGTAAGGTTCCTTTTGCACATATATATTAACTTAAACTGATTCAAATTGATACCGTGCGTTTTTACATAACTGATTGCAGTATTCTATGAGGGTTTCTAGGTTCTTCAAACCTGATAAAGTATTTGTTTCAAAACTAAATATGGCAGATGTAGGCGACAGGTTATAAGAGATATGCCCCGGTTGGGACTGACAAATAACAGTTATGTTCTTGACTCGTTAATATCAAATTAAACGTTCTACATCATTAGCTCACCTGGTCCGAAGGACCAAGGTGAGCTTGTGCCATACCGTGGCGTCCGGCGTCCGTCCGTCGTCTGTACTTCAACAACTGCTTTAAACGACTTCTTCTTCCACTGATTGGAATTTAACCAAATTTGACTGGTCGCATCCCGAGGTGGTGGGGATTCAAAATTGTACAAATGGTGGGGCTGACCCCCCAGGGGGCTGAGGGGCGGGGCCAAAAGGGGGCAATTTGGCTATATTGCTAAAAACGACTTCTTCTGTAGAACTAAGCACTGGATATCAATCATATTTGATCAAAAGCATTCATGGGAGGCCGGGATTCAATGATGGATGTAAGGGGCAGGACCGGTCAATCTATTTCATATGTTGGTCGTAAAATTGACGCTTTGATTTAAATCAATCACAAATAAAAGCTTGGTGGGCTGTTTTTTGTGTATTTTTAATTTTGAACATTTGTTAAATTTGAAAAGCTGTTTGCATATGCATCATTTACAGGCATAACAAGCAAATACTAAAACGGATCCAATTTTATAAAGAATGCAAAGCGGCCCAGTCGCACCAGGCCAATACATCCGACACTGCCAACATAAACCATGGTAACACATTGTACCGCTGGCGGTGACATAATTCCTTTTGTTTTTGCCGTAGGGTAAATAATATATTTTCGTAATTGATTATTAAAAAGCTATTTACTCATACACAAACAAGAGGCCCAGAGGGTCTGTATCGCCCACCTGAATATTTAAGCAGTCATAGCAAACTATTCTCATTTACTGTACTACTAATATTTCACTCACAAACTTTGTCTGTTCCATATGTTGAAACTACCAACCTAATATTATTATATCATTCTATGCTTTTTGGTTCTTCTTCAGAAGTTGTTTGAAGTGTTCTAAATTAATTCGAACAATTTAGCCCTTCGGGCAGGTGAGCTAAAAATATATAGCAACAACGTATAAAAACCCTGGTAAAGACATTCACATTCTATCAAATAACATACGCCTTCTGTCGCCATCAATCTCCTCTGTCCAAGTATTAAAATTCTAGGCATTTAAAAAAACCCACAAACTGGTCTATTATCAAAATACAGTTATCATTTTAGCGTATTCTATATTGCACAATGAATAGAAAAAGCCTTAAAACACTGGCTTCAAAAAGTACTGGGTTTTCCAATACATATCCAACCCCGCGCTATTAAAACATCTTATAATAAATGATACACAAATTGTCCCTTTAAGATAAACCAGTATTTCTTTCTGCTAATAGCTAATAGCGTACAAAGTATAATCCTATATCAAGATTGGAAAGTATTTTACGCTCTCTTAACGTATTTGACGCGGTGTAATCAATGCGTCAGACGCAATACAAACCAACAGTGCAGATAAATTGTTAGAATTAAGTTAGAAGAAGCCATTGATTTAGGTTTGAAGCGTAACCATACACCGAATATTTTAAAGGTGAAACGCTGAGTGCAGCGCGAGGTCGAAATTGTACATGTTAAGCAAGAACGCATGATATAGTAAGGTGTAAACCTTGTGAGCGCACAGAAAAGTGCTAAATACCGTGGGGAAAAAAATGGAAATCAAAATTGTCTAAACCACTGCTACAACAGAGGTGCGTAAAACCCTTGATTTATAAATATGAAGACACCATTTCTGTTAAGAATAATTTGATTTCTTTTTGTTTGTCTATGCAATTGCTATGAATTTACTAGGAAATGTGTTAACGATTATTAAACTAAAGGGCCATAAAATCGGGGCAATACTTTTGTAATAAAAAACAGCATAAACACTAAACACGTCAACATGGGTTTCAAAAGCAGCGTCATTGTCGCTTTCCGATTGTCATTAATGCGAATTACTTTGATTCAATGACATTGATCGTGCAGCCATGCATATTCATCAAAATACTGCCACACAAAGTGTTCATTTAGTCTGAAGAGCAGGGGGTCACCCTGCTTCATTACCTCGTTTATAATTATGTGGTCAATCATCGGATGCTACAGTTGTCTTCTGGTCCACAACGACTTACAGACTGGTCAATGTGAGCGAACACGGCCAGAGAATTGTCGATCTCCACAACAAGGCTAGGGTTAGTACTGGAGAACCAGATATTGAGCATGTCGAATAATAATGTTTAACACGTGTGTGTATGAGAACAACAACTTTACACACACACATCAGCTTTTAAGTACGGTCATTTCGTTTCAAATGATCACGTTTAATAAGCTTCAATTTTACGTTTGCTTTTCCTTCAGATTTGTTTCATTTCCAATTTTACCGTTTTAGAGACAGATACAGTTCCCTTGTACCAACGATTGAAACGCATTCAACGTTAAAGTATAGTTTCTGGTACGAACGTCAAGCATTTATTTATACATAAATTCTTCTTCAAATCATCGCATCCCTATATTTTGAACATTCAAGACTGTTGTAACTGCATGCTATTAGTCGTCTTGGTATTGGCGTTTGCCATGTGACATTGGAGTGTCGTCCGAAACACTGCTCTGGCGTGTCATCCTTGCCTTCCTTCTCCTTCGTTCTCTTGTTCTATCCACCTCTGGCGTTTGTGTGATGTCTGCAGGAACATTTACCTCCGTATCTGAATCTATATTGGATAAGAAAACAATAGAAAAACTGATAAAAAGCCAAGTTAAATATCAGGTCGATGTGCTCCACCAAACCATGTATCAATCGTATAAGTTTTATAAAGCGCAAGTACAACAGAAAATAATACATCAAGGTGTCTTCACCCGATGATGAGATAGCTGGTCTACTTCTAATAAATAATGTTCACTATACCAATAATCCAAATGGTTGGTCTACCTATCAATTATGTTCAGACTATTGATAACACAAATGGCTGGTCTACTTATGAATTATGTTCAGACTACTAACAACACAAATGGTTGGTCTACTTATCAAATATGTTCAGACTACTTACAACAAAAATGGTTGGTCTACTTATGAATTATGTTCAGATTACGTACAACACAAATAGCTGGTCTACTTATCAATTATGTTCAGATTACTTACAACACAAATAGCTGGTCTATTTATCAATTATTTTCAGACTACTAACAACACAAATGGCTAGTCTACTTATGAATTATGTTCAGACTACTTACAACACAAATGGTTGGTCTACCTATCAATTATGTTCAGACTACTAGCAACACAAATGGCTGGTCTACTTAGCAATATAAATGTTCAGACTACTAACAACACAAATGGCTGGTCTACTTATGAATTATGTTCAGACTACTAACAACACAAATAGCTGGTCTACCTATCAATTATGTTCAGACTACTTACAACACAAATGGCTGGTCTACTTATGAATTATCAGACTACTTACAACACAAATGGCTAGTGTACTTATGAATTATGTTCAGACTACTTACAACAAAAATAGCTGGTCTACTTATCAATAATGTTCAGACTACTAACAACACAAATAGCTGGTCTACTTATGAATTATTTTCAGTCTACTAACAACACAAATGGCTGGTCTACTTATGAATTATGTTCAGACTACTTACAACAAAAATAGCTGGTCTACTTATCAATTATGTTCAGACTACTTACAACACAAATGGCTGGTCTACTTATGAATTATGTTCAGACTACTAACAACACAAATAGCTCGTCTACTTATCAATTATGTTCAGACTACTAACAACAAAAATAGCTGGTCTACTTATGAATTATGTTCAGACTACTAACAACACAAATGGCTGGTCTACTTATGAATTATCAGACTACTTACAACACAAATGGCTAGTATACTTATGAATTATGTTCAGATTACGTACAACACAAATAGCTGGTCTACGTATCAATAATGTTCAGATTACTTACAACACAAATGGCTGGTGTACTTATGAATTATGTTCAGACTACTAACAACACAAATAGCTGGTCTACTTATCAATTATGTTCAGACTACTTACAACACAAATGGCTAGTGTACTTATGAATTATGTTCAGATTACGTACAACACAAATAGCTGGTCTACTTATCAATAATGTTCAGATTACTTACAACACAAATGGCTGGTGTACTTATCAATTATGTTCAGACTACTAACAACACAAATGGCTGGTCTACTTATCAATTATGAGTAGTCTCTAACAACACAAAAGGCTTCTTTACTTCTGATAGATTTTATAGCACACAAAAGCGTTTGAAACACATGATGGTACTTCCCAATGACAAAATGGCTACCACCACTCATTTCAAATGAAGTACTTGAACAAGCACACTAAAGCATAAAATTTGCAATTAAATGGTATATTTGTGAACAATTCAACAATTGAAAACCACTGAACGCAATATTTCCACAAAAGAAAATGAAAATGTTGATTTTGGAGACGATTTATAGTGATTTTTATACAATTTTTTTTTGTCGAAAAAATAACAGTGCAAAAATCTTAAGTTCTAAATATTTAACATTACATGAGTTTCAACTAGATCTATTTGTCGAGAAAAGGAAAATGCTTCAAATCTCGAGAATGATAACATGTATTTTGATTGGATATTTTACAACAATTCATCAAGCTAACAAGACCTTTGATACAAGCCAAGCCAGATTACCTGAGTGAGAACCTGTAATGAATGGTGTACAGGTAGAATCTCACTTGCTTTGCATGTTTTTTTCCAACCTCACTCTGCCTTGTTCGCTTTGTGCTCAGTTGTGATTTATTCAGAGGAAATAATGCCATTATTCTGGAGATTTTACAAATTTTCTTACATTTTTCTCGACAAATGCATCTCAATGGACATCCAACCTTATGATATTTACAAGTTTAAATGTTTTTTTTCCCCCTGAATTGTGACTTATATTCAGCTTGGAAAATGAACACATGAAAAGTGATTTTTTTCATCAGTTATTGAATAGTTTTTCTGAAATTTAGTGCACATGTACCTCAATTATGTTTGAGAAATATTGGAGGAGGATTATTTTGTGACAGGGATTGTTTAATGCTAAAGGAATGCTATTGAATTTGATATACAGGTTGGTGTGGCAGCCATATTGGAATGTCCTTAAGTTCCAAAACACTTTGATGAAAAACGAAATCTCTTGAATGATGAAGCCAAAACTCTTTTGACAATGGTGACTTTGTTTTTGACCCCAGAATGTTGAAATATGAGCTTACTTACCATCCTATTTTGTTTTATCTATTTATCTTTTTCACCAAAGGATCCCAATGTAAAATTCACTTTATGGGACTAGGAAATGGCCAAAAATGTAAAGATGATTATTGATATATGTGTTAGCTGTGATACAATTAATGAACCCTATGTTTTATGTGTACATCATAGGTACATTATAGGTACATTATAGGTACATTTTATGTTACTGTGTGCTTTACCTTATGACTAAGTACCACAATTTGTTAATAGTATACTGTTCAGCTAAAACTAATGCCAGAAGTGCTTGCTGTGTCTTAAACTCACTTAGTTCTTTATGCATGGTAAGTAAAGACTGGATGGATGAGCTCTGTTTGTTTGTTTGTTTGTGGGGTTTCATGTCCTCACATCAGCCAAGGTCACCTTGGGACATGTGCTTAGGATGAAATCCCGGAGAAGACAGTGAAGGAAAGTGTATAAAGGAACTATGTTGATCACAAGTCATGCAAAATAGTCTTGGTTTCTTTTATATCCCCTCAGTAGACAACAGAATACCCCAGTATCACAGTTGGGCATATTTAAGAAACAGAATACCCCCGATACCACAGTTGGGCATATATAAGTAACAGAATAACCCCGATATCACAGTTGGGCACATATAAGTAACAGAATACCCCCGATATCACAGTTGGGCACATATAAGTAACAGAATACCCTGATATAACAGTTGGGCACATATAAGTAACAGAATACCCTGATATAACAGTTGGGCACATATAAGTAACAGAATACCCTTATATCACAGTTGGGCACATATAAGTAACAGAACACCCCCAATATCACAGTTGGGCACATATAAGTAACAGAACACCCCGATATCACAGTTGGGCACATATAAGTAACAGAATACCCTGATATAACAGTTGGGCACATATAAGTAACAGAATACCCTGATATAACAGTTGGGCACATATAAGTAACAGAATACCCTGATATAACAGTTGGGCACATATAAGTAACAGAATACCCTGATATAACAGTTGGGCACATATAAGTAACAGAATACCCTGATATAACAGTTGGGCACATATAAGTAACAGAATACCCTGATATAACAGTTGGGCACATATAAGTAACAGAATACCCCTGATATCACGGTTGGGCACATATAAGTAACAGAATACCCCTGACATCACAGTTGGGCACATATAAGTAACAGAATACCCTGATATAACAGTTGGGCACATATAAGTAACAGAATACCCTGATATAACAGTTGGGCACATATAAGTAACAGAATACCCCCGATATCAAAGTTGGGCACATATAAGTAACAGAATACCCCTGACATCACAGTTGGGCACATATAAGTAACAGAATACCCTGATATAACAGTTGGGCACATATAAGTAACAGAATACCCTGATATAACAGTTGGGCACATATAAGTAACAGAATACCCTGATATAACAGTTGGGCACATATAAGTAACAGAATACCCTTATATCACAGTTGGGCACATATAAGTAACAGAATACCCTGATATAACAGTTGGGCACATATAAGTAACAGAATACCCTGATATAACAGTTGGGCACATATAAGTAACAGAATACCCTGATATAACAGTTGGGCACATATAAGTAACAGAATACCCCTGATATCACGGTTGGGCACATATAAGTAACAGAATACCCCTGACATCACAGTTGGGCACATATAAGTAACAGAATACCCTGATATAACAGTTGGGCACATATAAGTAACAGAATACCCCCGATATCAAAGTTGGGCACATATAAGTAACAGAATACCCCTGATATCACGGTTGGGCACATATAAGTAACAGAATACCCCTGACATCACAGTTGGGCACATATAAGTAACAGAATACCCTTATATCACAGTTGGGCACATATAAGTAACAGAATAGCCCTGATATCACAGTTGGGCACATATAAGTAACAGAATTCCCTGATATCACAGTTGGGCATATATAAGTAACAGAATACCCCTGATATCACAGTTAGGCACATATAAGTAACAGAATACCCCCAATATCACAGTTGGGCACATATAAGTTAACTCTTACAATAACTTGTAGTAGCTAGACAGCTGACCTACTTTTTCACCTGAACCTGCTGTGGATTAGAAGAGCTCATATTAAGGAAAACCATGATATAGACCAATAAAAGGATGTTACCTTCTTCCTGAATTGTTTCTGCTGCACCCATTTTCAACAGATTGTCTCTCTTTTTGAGACTCAAGTTGACCTTTTCTAGTTGTTCTGTGGCTGAGATGATCCCTTCCTTATCCATGCTGTATTCAAGTGAGGCAGACTCCAAACTTGATCCTTGCCATGCCTGGCGTCTCTCTGGTGCTCCACGGTCCAGCAAATTGTCCTGCAGACTCTTCATATCTTCTGACATGTCAACACTTTGCTGTTGTACTAGTTCTGGTCTACCAAATACATCCATATCTAACGAACTGGACTGTCTTCTGATTGGAGGGTTGCGTACCTTTCTCTCTACATTCTGTTCAGGGTCCAGCTCAGACTGCTGCCTTTCAGGAACTAAATCTTCAAAGCCTACAGTTTGGTCTGAAGCTGAATCAGCAACATCTTCACTGTCGTCTTCATCATCTATTTCCATCATAGTGGATACATGTAGGTCCACATCAGGAACTTTCACAGATATCTCTGAAATAGGCATTTCCTCTTCTTTCTTTTCCTTTTTGTTTTTAAAATAGGACCCATCAAATATACTCGTGAAATTGACTGCAGCTTGCCTTTCATCAAACAAATCAGATGGGATTCTATCCTTGACTGCCATGTACTGCTTCTGCTTTTTGATTGGATTGTCTTCGTCGCTGTCATCAGAGGAGGAGGAGGATTGTTCTGGAATATCTACGTCAGAATCATCTGACCCGCCAGCATCTTGCCTGATGGTTGTTCCCGGGGAGTTGATCAAGGCATACAATTCATTCTGTGTCAAACGAGGCTTTGTTGTCTTTTTTATGCTACGTCTTTTGTCAATATCTTTCTGGTAAACTCCATATTCAAATTTCTGCAAGATACCAGACAAAATGTTAATGAATATGCTGAAGCATTGCTATTTTATCATTCCAACAACTGTTGGCGAAGATGGTAACAATTATGAATATAAACATATCCAATGTAAGTTATCTTTTGACTGACTCTTATCACCAATCAAATAAGAAAAAGGACATCTCACAAAAGACAATATATTTGTATCCGGTTGCATTATGCTACAGTCTCAAGTGCCAATTAAGGACAAATGATGATTAAAATTGAAGAAAAGCAATGTATCAATTTTAACAAACAAAAACAAAAAAACATTTTTTATTTTAATAGAAAGTTGTTACAGGTGAACCTCCCGATTTTAATAATATTTTTAATATAAAAACATTCAATCTTATTTTCAGACTTCACCAAAATGATACTTTCACTGATTTCAAACAAAACTTGAATTCAAGAGAATATATTAACTTCTTGTGTTATAAAGTTTGAACAATTTTCACGACAACAAAGTTACTACTCGCATCTTTGATCAAGATTCAACATCTAGAACAAGAGGGCATACATAAAATATAAAGAAACAAGAGTTGTAAATTAGATATTAGGATACATTCATTTGGCTACAGAACTGTTGATGTATGGAACAGTCTAACCAAGGCGGTCATACAGGCAACAACAACTAAAGACTTTGAAATTAGTTTGGACAATCATTGGGAACATCTTGAACTGAAATTTAATCACCTATCTAGCTACAAATCTAACAACTGAAATTATTTTTAAATTAAAATTGTTATATTATATGATATTGACATAGAGGCAAGTAATTGCCTGTGTTCATCTATCTTATTATATAACTTATAACACACCTGAATTTTGTTGAGAAGTTTCTGGAGGTGTTTCCACTCCTGTAGAGTGACGAGAACTTTAAACACCAGTTCCTTGACCTCAGGGTATACTATGTGTGTGACTGGTAGTCCTCCCCAAGTAATGAAGTCCACGACCTCATCACACCGTGTCTTAGCCTTATACATCATGTTGACTGCTGGCACTGTGGGGAGTAAATCACAGCTGTAACCAGTAATACAGGAGGATGACATATATCTAGACAATATGGTCTCGGTAATCCATCAATACAAAAACAAGGTTATCATGAAGCAGTACTTATTACATCCATTAAATATTAAGTAAGCAGTTGTGATAGAAATAATTCACATGAAATACTTGGAGGTTGATGATGCTAAAATAAAATCCTTCAACTATAGGTAAATGCATCAAATATTGCATTAATAAGACCAAAAGGAATAATTCTAGTAAGATAATGATCCATATTGTCTGTTTTTTATGATTAGACTGATTATAAAGTTTGAAGTTAATCAGTCAATAATTTCTCAAAATATTTCGGGAAAGTTATCCAACCACCCCTGTAAGGGATCATAACTCTAACAAGAGGCCCAATGGGCCTTAACTCTCACAGTAGAATCAAAGTTTAAATTCAGATTACATTTACAGAATGGCTGCCATGGCCAATATATTTGACATTGAATCAGCTCCAGAATTACATGAATTTGTCAGGACAATGTGCTGACTGTTCCCACAAAATTTAGGTGAAATTGCTTCAGTAGAATTTGAGTATAAATTCCAAAAGGATTTCCATGATGGCTATCATGATGGCTATATTGGACTTCAAATGATGAAACTTGATACACTTCATAATTTTTTTTCATTTCAACTATTTCTGTGGAATATCAAAGTTTTACTTTTTACACAAACAATGTACGTATTAAACGAGTCGCAACGTTTCAAGACCGACTGGTCACTTTTTCAAGCTGTGATTCGACAAAGGGACCAGTCGGTCTTGAAACGCTGCGACACGTTTAATATGTACATTGTGTAAAAAGTTAAACTTTGAAATCACATATTTCCTAACTGATGAATCTAATTTTTTTTACGTCGATTAGAGTATCAGTTTAACCTGGTCAAGGGAACAGATTCAGTAAGGGGTTAATAATTTCATTTTTCTTTTAACTTAACAACACTTTTTTGGTTCATTTGATAATAGAGCCTTGTTGTAACAAAATTTCAAAAATTCATTCAAGAAGAGTCATGCATTTGCTTGATAGTGACACTGTTTTCACGACTTCTTCAAAAAATTCAGTTGATTGAAGTAATTCGATGTAAATGTTAAGCTATTCAGTTAACAGAATTCACTACATGATATATTTTTTCAAAATATAAAAGACACCAAAGTTGTCAATGCATATCAATTTTACACTAAATATGCACTCATTAGTTTTGTAGATATGCAGATTATCTTTCTATTTTTGCATTGTAATGAGCATATTTGCATTAATTACCCAAATTGTTCTGATGGAATAACCAGACGCCTTTACGATACTGGACTCTGGCCATCTTGAAGGTGACCAATGTCAGCTGTATGTGAGGAGGACTCATTATTTTCCGCCTCAACATCATCGCCTCTTCCACGTCCTTCTCTGCCTTCTCAAAGTTGCCAAGGGCAGCATGTGCGTCTCCTCGATTATGAAGAATCTGTGCGTGGCCGTCCTGTTTGTGGAGATTCATCTGAATACCTAGTCGGATACCATTATCATAGTACTGGATGGCCTGTTGGTATTTTGTTCTTGCTTCCTCAGATCTTCCACATTTTGTGAGGGCTTCTCCCTCCTTGAACAGACATGTTGCCAAGTTTTGTATGTACACCGGTACCTCAACACTGAACCACTTTTGGGAACATTTAGTGATTATCCTCAGTGCAGTCTTATGGTATTCCCGAGCCTTCTCCAAATTTGTATCACTTAGTCGAAAGTATGCCCCACCCATGGTATTGAAAATCTTAGCCAGAAATACTTGATGGTTTTTCTTCACCTCTTTGATTTTGATCATATTCGCAGCCAGTTTGAGGCATTCTATTGATTCTTCACACTGATATTCTCTAAGAAACAACCTGCCTTTAGCATAGAAGAAACTGCCTATCACGGCAGCCATTGGAAGTTCTTGCCCTCTCACTTGGTGTAATAAGATTTCAGTATCCTCTAGTATGGTTTTGGCTTCATGGTTTCTATCCATGTCCATCACCATGGTAGCCTGGTAGACTCGCCAGAAGATGTATTCGAGCTGGCTTTCCTTCCTGTCTTTTGTCTTGGCAATGAAGTTCTTTACAAGGCTCCATCTGGTGTCATCATACAGAAGTTCGTCTGCTATTTCAGAAATTCTTCTACTCTCAACTATGGTCTCTAGGTTGTCAGTTGTTTCAGCAGCGTCTGGTCCTGCCAAAATTTCATAGAAATTAAATATGTGGACACGATCTATTGCTAAAATCCTTTGTCCCTTTAAACAGTTTCTTTCCATCTCCTCTGCAATCTTGCAAATGACCTTACGAAAGTGCTTTACAAAATAACCCTTTGCTATCTTGATATCTCGCAGGAAAGGTTGGGACTGCCCTTTACTGTTTAAGAGATGAAAGACGAGCGGATGAAGAGAATATCTGGTTTTTACCCCACCTTCTTGTTCTGACTGAGAAATCTCCATTGCCTCCAGAAGGTGACGGGACCTCAGATTGAATAATTTCAGAAATGTATTACTACCCTGACTTATCTCATCACCAAGGACAGCTGCAGCTGCTTCAAGGTCAAAGAGAGCAGTATGAAACACCGACAGTCGTACCAGATACCGCCTTGCTTTATCCCCCAGTAATTCAAAAGTCTTTTCTAGGCATTCTGTAACAGCAGAAGTCCCTGCTTTGGATCCGACTCGTGACTTGGTTTTCAGATTTTCAATGATTGTGTACGGGTTGAGGAGACCGTAGCGTATGGAGCTACACAAAGACGTAATGGCCAAAGGGCTATACCCACATAGCTTCACTATCTTCTCAATCTTGGAGCTTTCAACTTCTTTCTGTAATATATCAAAATACACTGAATAGCTCACCTGATATCTGACTGGGGTGTTACACAACTATATTTAAGAGTTTTAAGAAGACTTTTTAAAGATTATTGGTAATAAGAAATGTACAGTCAAACCTGCTCAATGTGATCCCCTCTATTAAGAGACCACCTGTGTTAAGAGACTATCTTAATGTTCCCAATTGTAGCCATTTCCTTGTAAACTGAACCTGCATTAAGAGACCATTTTCAGAAATCCAAAAGGTGGGCTTTTAATGAAGGGTTGACTGTATATGATAATTCTGCAATATCTACACAGTACTAATGTTTTCTTTTCAAAAGTCAGTCCTCATCCTTCCTTAGAAGTCATTATGTAAAAGAAATGTTTTACAGCTCATATTTAGTTTGGTTGAAAGCTTAAAATTATCCATTCAGTTTGGAACGTGATGTTGTTTAAAGCAATATGCAATATGTGACTCTATTGGCGCAGCTCTGCTGGCTCCTAAGAGGCTATATAGAAACTTTACTTAGGAGATGCTGGCTCCTAAGAGGCTATAAAGCAACTTTACTTAGGAGATGCTGGCTCCTAAGAGGCTATAAAGCAACTTTACTTGGGAGATAACCGTACTGTTTTTTGAAATTTGCGGTGGTATATTGTGATTATACTGTCGCAAATTGAGTTTTAATGGCCACACGGAGCGGAGCCAGTAAAACGGATATTTGCGTCAGTATAATCACAATATACCACCGCAATTTCAAAATACAGTATTTCCCATTCTAATTAATAAAAGCCAAAACCACCAAAGGAAACGGCGACTTTGAGATATTTTTAAGTGTTTTCTTCAAATTCGGGGTCACTCTGCCATGGATTGATGACATCAGGAATATTCAAAGTGAGGCGAAATTATCTGACCTTTCGGGGTCACACTATTGTTCATGACTTCATGTATAATAAATTTCATGATGCGTCATGGTCATTCGGAGTCATTAACGTCATTAACAATCGCCATCCAGGCTTCATATGCAGTTGAGAAATTTGCCGAAGGTATTGATTGACCAATCAAATGTCGTGTTACATGTAAATTTCAAATGAATTAGAATTCTACATTCCTACACTCAAAGTTTATTTTAAACCCAATTTGTTTGAAATCTGCCCAATAGTTTGAGAGGAGATGCCATCTATATCAATTTTTGGGGAACAAGTAGACAGAGAGATGATGCTGTGTGACAGTAGCTAGCCTTGGTCCTACAGATCTGCTGTGCTAATAAATACCACATTTTGTTCAACTGCTTTCTGGGTTTATGCCGTATTCATTACAATAGAAGTAAAGTTTGCCTGCTTAGCAAAAGCATTTTTTAATTCACCTCACATGTTTTCAAAAAAGTGAAATAAAAAAAAAAAAAAAATGTAAAAACGTTTTTGTAAATTTTAACAATATTTAACAAGAGATCCCAGAGGGATCTTGGCACCCACCTTTTTACCATCTTCATTAGTTCTTTGTCAGTTCGATCTTTTCTCTTCTTTCCTCTAATCTGTTTGATCGAGTCATGTTAACAGTAAATGCACCTTGAGGTAACTTTTGATCTAAACTTAATACTGATGTGTATGAAAGCCAACCTTCAAAGTGAGTTTGTCATTTCACATATTTACTAGTACAGTACTTAATGTGAAAGAAATAGAATCGATCATTGCAATATGAGAAAGATCTGTTTAGTTCTTCTTTTAATCCATTTTGTTTTTATGATCAGTCTCAAAATATAACATACACAACGAGGGATCAAGGGGAACCTACATTTAAAATTTGAGAAAGATCCCTCCCGTACTTCCTGAGAAATAGCGATAACAAACTTTCACTATCAAAATCCAAGATGGCTGCCTGTCGGCCATGTTGTTTATCCGATCAGTCTCAAAAGTTGCCCTGCACAGCTAAGGACCAAGGGGAACCTGCATATAAAATTTGAGAAAGATCCCTCTGGTACTTCTTGAGAAATACCGATAACAAGAATTGTTTACAGACGGACGACAGATGACAGACGGACGACGGACCACAGACGCAGGGTGATTTGAATAGCCTACCATCAGATGATGGTGGGCTAAAAACTTCTCATTTGAAAAATTGAGTGAGGAATTTGTTTTGCTCATTAAGGTGTGAAGGCTACCTTGCCAATAGATTTACTGAAGAGTTTCACAGCCTCGCTGGGTTCCATGGGCCCCAACTCCTTCTCCAGTACCACACCAATACCACTGTCCTGTCGAGATGGTGTTGGCATTCCAGACCTGAATCCCTTAGCTGGCTTAGACAGCTTCTCCCGGGATGTTAACAGCATACGCATCTGATAACAAACAGCACATCAAGCTCTTTAACATAGACCAAACAATAAAATGTCTACACTTGATTGAGAGAGTACTAGTGTAACACTGGGCAAAGCTCATTAGACACCACTGTTCATCTTTCTTTTTCTATTGTTCTTTATCTGAAAGCACCCTTCAGCATTCCATAGCGAGAATGCATATGTCCAAACCTCCAAACCGTGGAGTTGAGATGACAGAATTTACAGAGAGTCAATAACTTAGGTACAGCAATTATTATAAGTTATAAGGAAGAAAAAGGTGTAAAAATAACTAAATGACAATGACAAACCTATGATATTTGCTGAGTGTGGTTAGCCATTTGTAACAGGTTTTGTATGGAACTTTTCATCTTAAAGTTAAAGGGTCCTTAAGGAAGATATTATAAGATAAGAAGTTAATTAGATATATAAAGAATTCTTTTGCAGATAAACATAGGAAGGAATGAGAATTGTAACTTTGAAATATTCAGTAACTTCAGTAGTTTGTAACGACAAAATCTGTCTGTATAACTATTTGTGTTTTGGAAGGATTTGCTGCTGCCCTACTCCTCAAATAAACACATCAAAGTACCAAGTTTGGGTTTTTAATTTTCAGTAACAGTAACCATGACCTTTGAAAAGGCAAACCCAAACTCAATAGTGTTCCTCTCTTTACAATGGTAACCCACATACTAAGTTTGAGATAGAAGTGACTGTTTGTCCGACAATCCTCCTGTGTGACTGAACAAGCACAAGATGTAGTGAACAAACTGTGTACGTTAACAAACTGTGTACGTTAACAAACTGTGTACGTTAACAAGCTGTGTACGTTAACAAACTGTGTACGTTAACAAACTGTGTACGTTAACAAACTGTGTACGTTAACAAGCTGTGTACGTTAACAAACTGTGTACGTTAACAAACTGTGTACGTTAACAAACTGTGTACGTTAACAAGCTGTGTACGTTAACAGGCTGTGTACGTTAACAAACTGTGTACGTTAACAAACTGTGTACGTTAACAAACTGTGTACGTTAGCAGGCTGTGTACATTAACAAACTGTGTACGTTAGCAGGCTGTGTACGTTAACAAACTGTGTACGTTAACAAACTGTGTACGTTAGCAGGCTGTGTACGTTAACAAACTGTGTACGTAAGCAGGCTGTGTACGTTAACAAACTGTGTACGTTAGCAGGCTGTGTACGTTAACAGGCTGTGTAGGTTAACAACCTGTGTACGTTAACAAACTGTGTACGTTAACAAACTGTGTACGTTAACAAACTGTGTACGTTAACAAACTGTGTACGTTAACAAGCTGTGTATGTTAACAAACTGTGTATGTTAACAAACTGTGTACGTTAACAAACTGTGTACGTTAACA